CATTTGCACAACAAACAGTGAATTGGCACGAGGCATGCCAAAACTCGGCTTGGATCCCCGTCGCTTGACGCTTGTTTCTGCAGGGTGCGGTGCGCGGCACGTTGGGCATGGTTCAAGGCAGGGCATGCTAGCGGCTAGCAGCGGCCAAACAGCAGACAGCCACCATCTGCAAGTCAGCTGCCGCTAAGATCCTACTCGTGCTCTGTTTTGTTCTCGGTAAAGAAGATTGAACATCCGGCGCAATTGGAAGAAGGATCATTGACAACCCTCCACGTCATGAAGCCTCCAGACAAAGGTCGAGGTATCAGTATCTGCCTGCACAACTGCTTTCCGCTGGACGAAGCCGTAATGTTGTTGTATCAACAGGACTAACACCAGAGACCAGAGCCTTCCCCTCGTGCTCGGCTCGACTCAAGCGCCTATCGTGATTCTACAATCGCTTTCCCATGATTGTTGCACAGGGGTCATCTTCCCGTGCATGGGGAATATCCTCGGAGTGATTCTCTTCCTACGTGGGCCCTGGCACTCTGGCAACAGTCTTGTCAGCTCCCAAGGACTTGTTGCAGACTGCGCAAGTGCTCTCAGGATAGTTGGCAAGGGAGGCATTCTCGAAGCTTTTGGCGTGGGCTTGGTTTGTTGCAAATCGGTCGCAAACAGACTCGCAGACACAAGTGTTTGTGCTCCTCAGACAGCACTGCTCTTTTCTGGTGCCTGTGTCAGGCACATGTACATTCCTGACAACGCTCAGCCTCTCCGCAATTGCTACGAATGGAAAGATCGCCGGTGGCGGCGCGTACTACTTGACTCCTGAATGCAGCTAGTGCAAGGAAGGGAGGGAAGAGGGAAGGCTACATCTTGTCTGGTCGCATCTCAGGATCTCGCGGTCGTTGGGACCGGCCTTGGGTGCTGGAGTGGGGCTTTGCTTCTACATGGCCTCCTGGTGGCAGCTTCTGCCGAGCATGTCATGCTCACTGCATTGAGTGCTGCTTGCAGCACTCGAAAGAACTCTCCGAATTTTCTGATGTGTTGTACCGCCAGCCTTCGAATTAGCCTGACGTGGTGTTTGCGCTCAAGTCTGGATATTGCACCCGTGCGGTCGGATCCCTTCTCGTTCTTGGACTTGCGTGCTTCCTCTGGTCCGACCTTGCGGGACTTGTTTTTGGCTTCAAGCTTCTTGGGCTGAAATTTCGGCGTCCAGGACATTTGCTACATTCGTCCGTTTTTTCATTCGACTCGGGGGTAGCTTTCCTTGTGGTCGAGCTGTGGTGAGGTAGATGTAGCATGAAGCATGTCCCTAGCCGCGGGTCACTTTGCATTGAAGCGCCTACTGCGGCTGGTCGGTGTCCTCCTTTTTCTAGCGACAGCTTCTTGCATCATTGCATGGTCGGATCCGGCTTATACTATCGTTTCCGTCCATCGCGCCCGACATTCCGGGATTCCGGCGAGATACACGATCGAATGTGAGCCTGGCAGCCGAAGCGTTTTGCTGCTTGGTGCTCCTGAGGCTAACTCCATCGGAGCAGCCATGTACTTCATGGGTTGCCACCCGGCGAATGGACACGAGCCTTCTTCAAAAGACAGAGAAAGCTCCGTGCTGCTGAGGTGTAGAGGCTTGGGAGATAGCACAACCAGATTACCAGCCCCTAATCTGCAAGAAGGCCCACGTAGTTGGGAGCATTGGCGCGGTTATTTCTGGCCCAGGATTGGAGAGATCGGAGACTTGAACAATGTTCGCCTGACGGGCTACTTGATCCTAGTCTTCGCGGTAGTCATCATCTTTGGTGGAATCAAGCACCTTGGCCTGGGCCGTCGTTGATCCAGCTTCTGTTTCTACCACAGCTGAAACTGCAAGGTATGTCTCACGCTTGGGAACGGTTTTCCTCATGGTGGTGTTGTCGGGCGCTCGGATCCAGTGCACTTGATCGGGTCTCCTCTGACAGGTTCTGATTTTGGATCCCAGGTTTGTGATCCTCTGCATGTACGTGGGCTGCTTGATGGGCCCAAATGAGACACGGCCGGCGACGTTCATAGCCGCTCGGGCAAGCGCAAGCGAATTGGAAGCGGTGGAGCGTGGTCCCAGCTCAGGTTGACCTGGTCACTGCGGATGGCTCGACGGTTCAGAAGACGCTCTCTTGGACAGGCCGCGGGGTTATATCTCCGTTTCCTACGGCAGCAGATCGGACAGAGACATGCAAGAGAGGCCCGTCTGGGGCTTCCTTCTCGGACAACTGGGCTTCTGCGTGGGATGCCCCTCAGGGTGCTTTTCCCAAGGACACCACTCAGCCGCTTTGGACTGCAAGGAGCTTCTTTTTTTGGGTGGCATGTAGTAGTATCATGGTGCTGGGCTTTGAAGTGATCGACTGACTAGTTTTTAGCACCCAGTGTCTGGATTCGTGTGGCAGCAGGCATGCATCGCCGGGGGATCTTTTCAGAAGGCTTTGCAGGCTGCAGGGCCGAGAGCTCCACGGATTCTCGAGACCCGGACGAGGCAACGAGGCACAAGCCGAAACAGTGCATTTGCGAGCCGAGCGGGTGCGGTTCAAGCCTGACTAGAGTCACTTACGTCGCTCGCAGTTCAAGCACGTCATCGAAGCCCTGCCGATTCAAGTACCAAGCTTGTTTACCTTTCAAGCAGTGGCGATTCGAGCAAGGCGATTCAGCGACCAACCAATTCTGCACCACCATCTCACGCAGGGCTTCGGGTTTGGGGCACTCCTATGCTTCGGAGTTACCCACTCTACGTCTCCTGGTCAGGTATCTACCTTTTGGGGTTTCTGTTTTCGCAGCTCTTTCGGACTTTGCACCGCCTCATCCCCTTGGAGGGTTGAGGGTTTTTGTATGGATGCCCGTTTTCCCTCAGCCCTTAACATCCCTGGCCACGTCCTGAACCACTTCGCCTGCCATTTCCTTCGCCGTGGTAGGTAGGATATCACGCGGGTTTACAAGAACATTTGTCGTCTACCATATTTCTGAATCTGACCTGGATGGTGTGTCTGCTATACAGTCTATACATATCTCCAGATCGTACGTGAGGTACAGCTTCGTGAACATGATGGGTCTCTACTTCCCATCGGTGACTGGCATCATGGCTGGCGCAAATCGGTCGGCGGACCTCATGGACCCCACGAGCGCCATTCCGAAGGGGACGCCCGGTTGTTGCATGCTACATCTACAGCAAAGGCATCAGAAGTCAGCCTAGCTGTGGCTATTGCAGCCTACTGCCGTCCCGAGTGTAAGGACTCTCTTCGCGCAGCTTTCCACATCCTTCATCTACCTTTCCTTCATTTTTGTCCGGCACCCAGGGCGCAGCGAGCAAAGCCGGAACGGAACCATCGCCGGTGCCGTCCTTCCCAGGTTTTCGGGAGCGTGGCTCCCCGAGAGACCCTTTTGAACGACAAGTTCTTCGCCGCTTGCCCAAAGCCACACACATGCACAGCACATGCAGTCATCCCGCCTGAATCTGCCGGAGAGAGAGCGAGGAGCTTTACACTCCCAAGTCTTACCAGTGCGCACTCGTGCGCGAAGTAGGTTGCGAGACCTGCTTCTGGCTGCGTGCAAGCAACACAGAGAGAGAGAGAGAGAGAGCTTGAGGGGAGCACTGGCAGCAGCCACAGCACAGATACAGCTGATACAAGAAATCACGGAGACGATGAGAGAACCAGAGGGGCAAATCGTTGCCAACATATGCTCCATTGCCCTGGCCATGTTGGCTCAACCGGGCGCAGCTACAGGGGCAATGCCACAACGAGGGGAACTACCTCATGAAGCAGACTGCGGAGCGTTGCGTGAAGCTTTCAACCAGATCACCAGCATGCGAGTACGAAGGGGAGAAGGCCTCACCAACTAAGAGTTTGCAACAGACCTCAGCTCGGTTCGCAACCTCTGTGGCATGGGGGCAGAAGAGCTCAGCGAACCCATGGCAGACGAAGTGCCAGGGGAAGCCAGGCAGCGGGCCATTGAGGCGGCCAAGGCAGCCTACAAAATGCTGGATGAAGCCATCCTACCAGCGCTGGGGGGAGACCGCTCCTGGAACACACTGAGATGGTGGACCCAGCTGCAGGAAACAGTGTTGCCAGCGACAGCCATGGGGGAACAACGCCAAGGATGCAGAGTGGACCAAACGCCAGCCACGGGGGAGCATGCAGCACACCCAGCCGATGTGGTCGCGCTGGCGGACCCGGGCGCGAAAGAGTGGACAGCGCGTACCAGCCAGCTACACAGTACGGCGACGAGGCTCATGGCAGCAGCGAGCCGTTTGCGAGAAGTGGTCCCGCTAATGGGGGGAGACACCATTGGCGCAGCCATCCATACACTCTCAGCCCTGGACGCATGGCAACAGGCGTACTTCGGGGGGACGCACGCGGTGCACGATGAGACCCAGACCGAAGAGAAGGGGGACAAGAACGAGAAGACCGAGGCAGAGGCCAACAAGGACGTCGAGATGGGGGAGCCGCCCAGAACAACAGGCACCAAAAGAAAGTGGCTCGGCCTACATGGGGTCACAGAAGACGAAGTGGCCGCCCTAGAAACAGACAGTTTCCTTGCAAATCTGGGGGAAGTGGAAGCAATGCCAACGCTACCACTCCCGACAGACAGTGCCGTGGGGAGACAGAGGGGGAACAGCGAGACCGCCGACTACCCGACCGAGAGATGAGGAAGAGGGGGACTCCTCCGATTCCAGCCCAGCCTCGCACCGCCGACGCCGCCTGCACGCGGCCTTTTTTGATAGACATGGCCCCATCTAACACAAAGGGGACAGCACAGGCCGGAACCCACAACACATGTGATGTAGGTACCAGCTTTCTTGCTCCAGTTGCGCTACTTGACAAGGGGGGAACTGAGCCTGACAGTACCACCAGTAAGAAGGAACTCCTCCCTGTACTCGTCACTGCTTATACTCGTGTGTTGGCTTGTTGGTTTGAGGAAAAAGGGGGGAGATTCCAGAGCGGCTCACCCAAACACAATACTGAACCGTGATCCTGTGATGAATTATGGCATGATCCTCAGTTGTTGCTTTGTATGCTAGAAAGGGGAGCCGCTAAAAATCGTAGGTCTTACGGGGGGGAAATCGCCTGGTGTAGGTACTAAGGACGTAGCCTTAGAGGGCGCGGGGACGAGGCCGGGATGCGGGCTAAAGTACAGGGTTAGGGGGTTTTGTCACCAGGCGATCTCTACCTACCGAACCGACCGGGGGGAAGCAACCCCAAGCACTCGACCCCAAAGCCCTCTCCCACAAACAAAGCAGGGAGGGGGGGGCCTCGGCCCGGGTCTTCGGACCTTGCCCCGGATGCGAGCGAGCGAGCGACAGAGAGAGAGAGAGAGAGAGAGACAAGCGGAGGGGCTTGCCCCTGGCGAAAGAAAGAGATCAAAGCAAAGAGAGAGAGAGAGAGAGAGGTAGACTTATCCGTTGCGAGCGCGCGCCATCTTGTCCGATTGCAAGCAAGGTAGACTTATCCCCAGCGGAAGGAAGGAAGGAGGTAGGGACTGCCTGCCTCCGATGCCCCAGAGCAAAGCAAAGGAAAGAGCAAAGCAAAGGAAAGAGAGAGGTTGGGATGCGAAGGGCGTAGCAGTCGCGAAGTGCTTCTGAAGAAGAGTCCCAACCGCTCCTGACTCCCCGTGCCACAAAGTTGTCCTTCACATGCAGACGCACAGTAATTAGCACCCACGGACATTCTATCACGTTTTTACGGTGAGATACGGGTGGAGCAGCGTGCGACAAAGCTGTAGCCGCAAGAACCTTGTTGTGATGATAAAGTCGCCTGCTCCTTCGTCGTTAAGAGTGGAGCAGCACTAGGGGGACAGGCTGTCGCAGATGCCAGCAGGATTGGTCTTAGAGGGCGCAGTGTGACAACCTGCGGTTGTTCCCAAGTGACGGGGAGGCGGGCGCCTAAGGCGCGGCTCTGATGCCAGCCAGACTCTTGCTCCAGACAAGGAAGGAAGGACGGAGGGAAGGAAGGAAGGGAATCACGCAGAACCGGCTGTGCGGACGAGCGCGCAGGAAGGGAGGGTCCTCATGTGCGCTTGCACTCGCAGGCAGCAACCTCGGCTTTCCCTTTCAAGGAGGCCAGCGGGCCGCAGAGGACTTGAAGATCTCGAATCGAGCTGTGAATATATGAATATGCAGTCGTCAGCACAATGGCGGATCGCACAAAGAGCAGCATCACATTCATTCTCAAGCATGGCATACGCACTGCAGCCATCTTGCCATGCACGCACTCCAGTCCAGGGGCGACGAAGACTTCGTTCCGTACCCAACAAACTTGTCCACATCGCAGATCGTCATCTACGGCGTCATGGCATCCAGCTTGGGCGCGGGCTTGAACTCGCTTGTGTCAGGCCGGGCTTCCAGGAACACGGGCACGCAAGGGCTGCAAGCTGTTGCATGCAGCTGCAACGCTTGTGCGAGGTACCAAACTTCTCAGCGCTATCGCAGGTGATGGCACTCTGCCCATCCTTCGCTTCTTTCGCGCCGCGAGGATCCCGGCCATGTCTGGCAATTGCACTTAAGTGCGGTCCTTCACTCAGTTCCAAGGCTCCGGGAAAAGAGCCGCGACTGGCGCTTTTGGCAACTCAGCAGACAGAAAGTCAAATGAGTCTCCAACCATGCCGTTTTGGCCATGCTGGTGCATCGAGACCCTGAAGCAGTCGGAGACTGCAGGCGAGTGGAGCTCTCTGTGCACTGTCTATCACCATTGGTGAGCTCGGGTCTCGGTGCTTATGTCACCTCTGAACCGAGCGGGAGCGAGACTGGCAGCGGCAACCAAAAGTGTAGAAAAATGCAGGTTGAATGCCATCGCTCCTCTGCTGACAATGTTCTTTCTCATGCACCTCGGCCACGATTCCGTGATTTTACACAGCTGTGCAGGGTAGAATTTCAGAAGGCAGGGCCGCATGGAACCAGGGGGCCCGGAGGCCCTAAGATTCTCAAGGGGCCTCGAACACTTTGCGATCTCTGAAATCTCGGTACCACCATGAAAGCAAGGGGACCGTGGACCCCCCAAACAGATTCTGCCCTGCTGTGAGTCACTGGCACCAAGGTGCTACACTTGCGCTGCTTGGACGAAGATTTCTGCAGATCGTCGGTTTCATTCCATCGTTGATTGCTGCATGGTTGGCCGGTAGTTCCGGTAAGCTGTGAGAATGCAGCAGAGATGCGCTCCCACAAGTTCAATGCTCGGCTGCAGGTGAACATGTCCTGTACCATCCTTCACTTCGTCAGTGATCCGAACTGGCGTCCCACCTTTCGCTGCTCAAGCTGCGAGATGCTACAAGCTAGCCGCTCTGTCCTTGAGCTCCGGGCAAGATGAAGTACCGCGCGATTTAGGTTATCATCACTGGTCCATTTCGCTCATTGCCGCCGCTCTCTGCGCTTGAGCCTCAGATCACAGAAATTGCGGCCTTTGCCGACATCTTTCGGCAAACTGATCGACGAGAGGTCTGGATGATGTTTGCTATGGCTGCCGTGATTGCCATGGCCGCTATCATTTTCTGCGGCCTGATCCTCGCATACGCTGCGTACAACTCCGCGAACACGAGATGGGGCGATGGCTTCCAGGGCATGAAATTCCAGCACCTCGGGCTGCGCACTCTTTGTCTACTCTGAACTTTCAGCCATTCCGAAACTCTAAGCTGGTTGCAATCACGGTCAGCTCCAGCGCTTGTCCGCGAGAAGTTCAGCTTCTAGATTCCTCCGTTTCCCTTCGATCGCTGGCATTTGCTGCGAAGGTTGGCGAAGAACATCCTCATAAGCAGCTTGGCTTGGGGACCCAATTTTTTTTGACCCTTTTATTTTTTTTTTTTTGGCCCTTTTTTTTTGTTTGCCCTTCCGTGGGAAGGAAGGAAGGAAGGAAGAGAGGAAGAGAGGAAGGAGGGAAGGAAGAAAGGAAGGAGAAAACAAACAAGGAAGGAAGCAAGAAAGGAAGGATGGAAGAAAAAAGGAACGTAATCGTATATACACTGATACCTGCGCAACACTGGACTTCATTGATGGCATTGCAGGTCACCCATGCCCGATCAAAGCTATGAATCAACGATGCAGCACGCGCGCAGGATTGCAACTCGGCACCACCTTCCACAGGCATGGAGGCATCGATGCGTAGCAAGAAGCAAAACCCAGAGAGAACCCTAAACCCTAAACCCTAAACCAGAGGCATATTCTCATGTGGGAAATGTTGATTTTTCCCGGGAAACACCTAGAAAACGAACCAAAAACAAAGCAATGAGTTAATCTCATGAAAAGATATAAGAAATTTTGTTTTTCCGTGGAAAACCAAGTAAACGAATCAAAACGAAAGAATTCATAGGAACTCCTTCAAAAAGTGGTATTAATCTTACGAAGCTATACATTGTTGGTTTTCCTAGGAAAAACCAAGACAACGAACCAAAGAAAAACAATGAACACCAAATAAAGAGAAATAAGATAAATGCTCCCAAAACAACTTCACTCGTTTGTTTTCCTGCGTAAACATATCTACATCCATAGACAAATACAGGTCTATGGATGTAGATATGGACATATCGAGAAAATCCTGGTTTTCCACCTTAAAACTAGATACAAGATAGGTTTTATACTAGGGAAATATAGACAAACTAGAAGTTTTCCTATGGGAACGTAGGGAACTCCCCCCTAAACCCGAAACCCGGGAACGTAGGGAACTCCCCTCCCCCCCTAAACCCTAAACCCTAAACCAGAGGCATATTCTCATGTGGGAAATGTTGATTTTTCCCGGGAAACACCTAGAAAACGAACCAAAAACAAAGCAATGAGTTAATCTCATGAAAAGATATAAGAAATTTTGTTTTTCCGTGGAAAATGAAGTAAACGAATCAAAACGAAAGAATTCATAGGAACTCCTTCAAAAAGTGGTATTAATCTTACGAAGCTATACATTGTTGGTTTTCCTAGGAAAAACCAAGACAACGAACCAAAGAACAACAATGAACACCAAATAAAGAGAAATAAGATAAATGCTCCCAAAACAACTTCACTCGTTTGTTTTCCTGCGTAAACATATCTACATCCATAGACAAATACAGGTCTATGGATGTAGATATGGACATATCGAGAAAATCCTGGTTTTCCACCTTAAAACTAGATACAAGATAGGTTTTATACTAGGGAAATATAAACAAACTAGAAGTTTTCCTATGGGAACGTAGGGAACTCCCCCCTAAACCCGAAACCAGGGAACGTAGGGAACTCCCCCCTAAACCCGAAACCCCTAGCCCCGCTCCACCCCCCCCCCCCCCCCCCCAAAAAAAAAAGAGGGCCAAAAAAAAAAAAATAAAAGGGTCAAAAAAAAATCTCCACCCGCTTGGCTTGGTTGAGCTGATTCTACCACTTTGCGAAGTTCTTGCTACTGCCAAGCGGCCACGGAGTGGCAAGCAGTTTCCTCCGGTTGTGCTTCTCGAGCCAGGCATGGATGCCAAGCTCCACACCAAGAATTGGCGTCCTCAGCTGCGGCTTGACTGAAAATATGCTTCTGTGAGGAAAATTTACCCAGAATACGTCCTTACCACGCCAGGGTTAAGGTTCACTTTTTTTCTTACACTGACAAGCTTGCCATCCTTGTCGCCAGCAGGATTGCGGCTCGGCCCTAGCAGTTGGAGAATTCAGTCGATCATGCAAGAAGTAATATAAACGTATCATACACCCCTCAATTGTGAAACTCGATCCCGGGAACTCAATCATTAACATGCCCCTCAATTACAAAGTTCGATCCGGAAACTCAACAATAATCCGGTCCCTGGTTCCGAAAACAACACTTGCCTTTCGTCAGCCTTCCAGAGAGTCAGCGAGCGTAGTAGCACCTGGTGGTTTCATGCCCTGTCGTGGTTGACTTAAATTGACGTGGCGACAATTTTTCTTGTTGTGCCGTGGATTCTTTTTTTGGTCGTGGTAGCAATGCGCTCTCGTCTATCGCTTTGACAAAGTCGCTATGAGGCTGGTTGTGACCGAGCCGAAGATGAGGCGGCTTGGGCCATGAGAAGCTGAGAGTCTGCGAGAGTCTGCGAGAGTCGAGAGGGTCACATCCACCGGGTTATCTTTTGCTGGGACCGGAGGCCTCTGAGCTCCCTCGAGGGATCTGCAACTCGGAGCCGATCAAAACTTTTGCTTGGATTTGGGTGTTCTTAGGCCGTAACCGTAACAGTTGGCTTCTGGCACGCCGGCACGCGACGAGGCACTACTCTTCCCGGACCTGGGCATTTTGAAGATCGCCTCGCAGCTGAAGAACGGCCGCGGCTTCATCGTTCTGGGTGGCATCTGCTGCCCCAAGGCACCTCAACACTCTAGCACCGCAGCAAACCCAAGCGTGTGCGTGCTTGACTTTCTTGGACCGTGCAGCTCGATAAAGCAACACTGGCCACGCGTAAGTATGCCTTTTCGCGCAGGGCCCAGAGAAGCTTCTGTCGCAGGGCGGGCTCTTCCTCAGCGTACCTTGTCTGCATCGCACGTCGACCAGCGTGCCATCGTGTCCGACATGAGGAGAAAATGTCAGACCAAGTGGCGGAGAGCCACTTCGAGGTGAAGGAGCTCCTCAGAAAGTGCCCGGATCGCAAGTCGAAGAAGGGCACGGCAGGCACGTGGCATGATGCTGCAGGTACATGATCGATGGCTTCGGCAAGATTGTCTACTCGGACAGCTCAGCCCAGACACAATGCAATACTTGAATTTGTGAAGGGGGACATACCTTTAGTGGCAGGCACGGGGGTAGGACATTATTTGCCGGTGCTAGGAAGACTTCACCACGGCTCTCACGGGCCTGGTGCAGTCGTCGGGGCTTGGAGCTTTCGAGCCGAACTGTGTGCTGGTGGCCAAGCCGCAAAGATCCCCCGCAAAGACTCAAAACTCGCGAGAGCCGTGGTGGCTCCGGAGTCAACGGAGTCAAGAGCTAGACAGCTAGAGCTAAAGCCGAGGCTTCTTGGCCCAAGGACGCCCTTGAGCCCGGGCGGGCCGGTGTGAACACGCGCAGCAAGCTAGCCGCTTGGCAGAAGAGCAAGAGCGAATGCCAGCTCTGAGACAGCAGACATGTCATCCGACGCCTTTGCAGCATCAAGTTGGAGACCGGAGCAGGGTTCACAGACGGTGCTCCGAGGTGAACATGGTCCAGTTCTAGCCTCAGGGGACTTCCAGAAAGCTCGCAGAGCTGTCAGCTCTCAGAGTCATTTCCCAATCAGGATCTCCGCCATCTTCCAGAAGGCCCACCGCTTGGCCCATCCTCTGGCTTGCACCCTAGAGCGATGGCGGTTGCGTGCGCTGGGAGTCAGGTGATGATCCTGACAAAGGGGGAGGAATGGCCTGAGTTCGATGTTCCTTGGACCCTGCTTCGGATTTGTCTGAAGTGCGCAGGACATCGTCCTCTGACTCTAGTTCTCCAAGCTTTTGTGCCTTGCCAAGGCAAGAATAAATGGAACCATCGACATCTGGTGGATTGTTGGAGACGGTGGCGTCCGATACTTACGCAGTACACCATGCAAAGAATCAGATGTGACAGGATTTGGGAAGTGGGATGAACTGTGATGGGATTGCAGTTGTAAGCTCTGTCGGTGCAGTGATAGCTCCGACGGAGAGGCTTGGGTTGCAGAAGTGGATTGTGGAAACGCGCACATGGGTTGCAAGGTTCTGCTGCTGCTGCCCTGCCTTCTGAAGAAGCACCGGGTCTGGTCTGGCTGCAGGATTCGCTTATTCGTTCTGGCTGACAGGCCGGGGTTGAACGAAAGTGCTAAAGAGAGAGATCCGGGCACGGGTCTGCCTAAGCCCTGTGCTTACATGGTTTGGCGTGCAGTGCCGTCTTCGGGGCATGGCACCTGTGGGACGGATTCATAATAAGTTTGCTTGTAGAAAGCCACCGCAACCACCTTCAGGGCCGGTGACGATGTTGACCTCATGCAGCGGGAGCTGGACATGTGTCTGGGACCTTCTAGCCAGGATTCTCGGATCCGCGATGCCGTGTTGAGGCTGGGTGCTTTCTTGTACTCCCACCGTCTCTCAGCCACAGGACTATAGATGCAACCCCAATGCGTGTGGTCTAAGCTGTCTGTCTATGGAGGGGAAACGGCACAGCTGCAATCGATGCACTAGCCGCAGCTGGCTTTCTGCCCCAAGATTCCATGGTGTTGGTGTTGGTTACATCGTAGTATTACACATGCAAACCGGAAGTCGTGTGCAAGCAACTGAGTGTGTTTCTCCTTGATTTCATGGTGTTGCAGGAGAGATGCTTGTGCATGCTTGTCCGAGCATTGAATGCCGTCTTCCGAACTTGGACTAGGAGCAGCAAGCATCCTTTGCTCACCTTGCTTGTGCCCAGCATCAGCAGGGCAGGATCGGGAGGCTTGCGCCTTGCGCTCTGTGGAATCGATGCCTGGGATGAAATGTTGATCCTGTGGAGGGGGCTGGAAGACTACTGGCACATACGCAAAATCATATTTTGTTACGTTGCTCCGCTACAAGGCATCTGAGTGTTTTCCATGATGTAAAGGGCAGCGATGCATGTTGATGTACTCAGGTATGTTAGAGACTTCCGGCTCAACGTGGAAGTACACATCAAGGCCGGGTGGGTTTTGGGAGCTTTTTTGATATGTGAACGCTACAGGCCGTGTGTGGGAGGGTGTGCTCTGTCGGAATTTCCAGAGCCATTTTGTTGGACTTTGCTGAGGTTGTGGACGAGGTCGTCGAAAGTGGCATGTCGCCCCGTGCAGCTGCAGTGGAAGCGTCGCTGATCTGCATTGTAAAACAGGGTCCAGCACGCTCTGGGGGTGGAGTCATGCAGGCTACGGTCTTGAGTTCCCATGTCAAGCCGTGACTGTTTCGCGGAGGCAGCGGTTTTTCGTGGATCAGCCGCCCGACGACGTTGTGCCCAGCGAGTCTCTCTGCTGACGTTACGAAAGTTGCCAGGCATCGTACAATCTGGCATGTGACGGAGACGCGTCCAAGCACAACGAAACTTCAATGTCGGTCGAGGATCCAGGTCGAACTGAAGACAGGAGTGACATGGGAGTGGAAGGCTTGTTGATCCGCTATGGGTCCGTAACCGTTTGAGCTCAGGTATGAGGAGTTGGAAGCCGGAATGCGCAGTCGCCGAGAGCATCCGAAGGTTTGTGAAGCCTTGCCACGTCTTTGCGAAGTTGCTCGAGCCTCTCGCGTATCCTTTGATGCATTCAGTTTCATCTTTGGGAGGCGGAGCAGTATGATCAGCCCACTCGTGTCACGAGTGGCCAAAGCTTGACGGACGTAGGGGGCTGGCATGTTCCTGGTTTGTGGGTGAAGGCAGTAGGTCTGCTGCGCGCATGACGGGTGCTGTTTCTGCAGGACACGCTCAAGACGTGGCGTGGCCGACAGTTCCAGCGCGAGCGCTCTTTTGACAGCAGAGGTGCCCGCATGTCTTGCTTTTTTCGCATGGTGGGGTGTGGGAAGGACGTGCATGTGAAAAGGGATATGTCTCTGATGCTTCGCTTGCTATGCGCGTATGCTATACCCGCCAGAAGAATCTGCTCTTCCTAAGGGCTAGACGACCAGAAAGTTCTAGCATGCTGTGGTGCCTTGCAAGCCCTTTTTACCGCCCCATTCGTCTTGATTGACAGTTAGTGGCGGCTCTGGCGGGGAGAACAGCAAGAGCATCAACTCCCACACCTGGCCACCTGGCAAGAGTAGCGCTGTCTGAAGCGAATAAGAATGAAGCACTGTAGCAGACGGGCTCCTGACGGCGCCGAGGTCTGCAATGCACGGCCGCAAGCAGTTCCCGGAACGCCTCAAGGAGTGGAACACCCCGCAGGCCCGGAAACAGCCCGCAGGCCTGCTCGGGGGAGAGCGTGTGAGAGCCCTCGGCAGGACAACTTGGCCATGAACTCCATGACAGACCCAGGCCCTGGTCCCCAGGCCGTCGGAAAGGCCCCCTGCGCATTGCGAGCTGAGAGCTCTCATCAAGTCGAGACTCGGAGAGCCTTCGTGAGGCGACTGCGAGACCATCGGTCGACCAACTGCTGCTCGTCCGATCAGGCAGCAATCAGCAATCGGGAATGCACTGAACGGCCGAGGAACTTCACCGACGACCGTCAGACTGGTAACTCTGATAGGCTGGTTCACTCCGTGCACGGTGTGTTGCGCTGCTCTCCGCTCTTCCGATGAATGCGAGGCAGCTTCCAACAACCAACGCATTGGTGTCCGACGTCTCCGGGAGCAACTTCCAGCGTCAAACGAGCGCCAACGACGGCGTGGGACTGAGGTCCATGTCACTATGTCATCAGCTCATTTGGACAGTTCTGATGCATGATCCATAGCGTGTCTGACGGCCAGAGATAAACCTTCGGGAGACGACGTCTGACTTCCATGCAAATTACGCCTGATCCAACAACGATAGAACTTAAACTTTCAAGTCTGAGCACCCGCGGCTGTTCCACAAGGCCCCGAGGCTCAACCTGCCGGTAGAACATCTCGGTTCCAGAATCCTTCGGCCCATGCGATTCATCCTTAGCCCAGAACCGTTGGTAATTGGTATGCATCGGTCAAAACACCTCTGTACTCATGCGGACCTTGGGGACCATAGCATCTGGACTCAACTCTGCTCACGCTGGGAAGAGTTTGTGCCTCCGTGCACTTCAGGAAAGCGCACCCTGTTCCTGCACGATGCTACTCGGTGGCAGCTCCCTGGTGTCATTGCAACCTTTCGAGCTTCGCTGCTCCATAGGCACGTCAGCTGGCTGCCACATCGCCGTGTTCGCCCGACGAGCTGTCAGCCGTTCCGGCTGCAAAAGCGAACACTTGAGACGAACGCCGATCCTGCCGAAGCCTGAGGTGGTGTCGACCTTGAACAAAGTCATCCTCGAGGACATTCCCATTCCTGCTGCGAGTAGCTGCTAGCTTGAGTCGCTTTCAAGCAGGCCGTGGCGGCGCGAGATCAGTCGATTTGTGCAAAGTGAGCACAGCCGCATGATTCTTCTGCCATGGCTTTCTCCCCTTGTTCCTCTGCCTCTTCATGCTTTCTTTCTGAGTTTGGATGTCTCGTTCTCACATGAGCTCTCCAGGAGTCCCAGGAGGCCGACCTGGTGTGCACGAACCTCCCCGATATGCGTCTCGGGAGCAAAGGACGGACACACACACACACACACACACACACACACACACACACACACACACACACACACACACACACACACACACACACACACACACACACACACACACACACACACACACACACACACACACACACACACACACACACACACACACACACACACACACACACACACACACACACACACACACACACACACACACACACACACACACACACACACACACACACACACACACACACACACACACACACCACACACACCCACACACACACACACACACACACACACACACACACACACACACACACACACACACACACACACACACACACACACACACACACACACACACACACACACACACACACACACACACACACACACACACACACACCACACACACACACACACACAACACACACACACACACACACACACACACACACACACACACACACACACACACACACACACACACACACACACACACACACACACACACACACACACACACACACACACACACACACACACACACACACAGCGCGTACCTTGGTCGTTGCGCACTCGGGCCTCGTTGCTCGGCCCAGCCGAGGCCTCCATCTGACAGCGCGCTGGGCCTCTTGCCGTCTGATGGTCCGTGAAGTCAGTCCTCGCACCGCTGGAATGAGTTACATGACCTAGGTTACTGCCAGCTTGTGGAGGTGGATATCTCAGTCGCAGATGCCATGCATCGCACCTGCTCGCCACAACTGTCACAACGTGCACCTTTGCGTCCACGCATGCTTGAAGAAAGGCCTGCCCCGCTATTGAGGCAATGACAGCCAATATGAAGCGAGTGATCTTGGTTAGAGGCGAGAATCAGAAGTTACACCGCGTTTCAAGTAGGCCGAGCGGCATCTCTTCGATCATGAGCACACGAAACCCCTGGCAGGTACATCGAGTGAAGTGATCACAGCCTTCACCTGAGGCCCGTTCCAATGACAGATCAAGTTTGGTGTAGCACGCTGACAATGCCAGCGGCGTGTCGCAATGATGTCTTTTTGGTAGCATGTGGCTTTGGCACTTCCAGATTTTCAAGCGATTCAAAGAGATCGCACTCATTTCGCAAGCCGGTGTTTGGCTTCAGCATGAACAGCATCAGCTCACATAACGTCCTGTGCAAGGTGAGTTTCTTCAGGGCTGACCGGTCTGTATTGCTTCCAGAGGGCACCGAAACGCATTGACACGATAAGGACGGCGGGGATTCGAATGTTCGTGGTTTGTTTATTCCGGAAGCATCGCAACGGCAAGTCGTACCGCAGCCGTTCGACTTAAGCTGTCCGTCCGTGCCACCTCTGCCGGTACGGTTCAGCTAGTGAAAGTTTAGGCTGTCACGGCTTGATGCCGAGGAGTTCCTCTTCCGACTCCACGCCCCGGCCCCGCCGTCGTCGCCGTGGTCGTCGTCGTCAGGCCCGTTTCCGGTATTGCCTTAGTAGTCCTGTTGGCTGTCACCGCGTGGCAGCCCTCCCCGACTTCTTCGAGCAGCCGCCGGTCTCCTTCCTCCGCTTCGAGGTTGGTTGACTCCTGCACGTTGGGCACTTTTATCTGCCGCTGTGCTTCAGGCGTTCACCCTCCGTTCCGGTGCCCTTGTCGGGCGCTCGGTCCTTCCGGTGAGCTCCTTTTTCAATTTCTTTTTCTGAGGCCGCAGTCCGGTTCGTCCACCCTCGGTGCGACTACCCCTGCTGCTACCGCCGCGGAGGCCCGGACTGCCCGCTATGTCCGTTCGCCTCTGATTTGCTTGACCATGCTTGAGCTCCGGTTGCGCGCATGCAGCAGCATTCCCGCTCTCAAGTCCTTCCCGTTCTTTGCTTTCAGCATGAACCGCTTCGGAGGATCTCATCCGCTTCGCGATCTGGCCCGTGGCTTGCGGTATGCCCAGGCTGGCTTGGGATCCGGCCCAACTACGCCGTCCCTTGGACCTGGCCCGGCTGCTGCGGTCATTGATCCGCCGGCCCAGCATCAGACTGCCTCGGCCGCCAATGCTGGTGATGGGCAGCCGGCCGCCGTCCCTGATCCGGCCCCGGCTGTCGCTGCTTCCAATATGGCCACCCAAGACCCGGTTAGCACGGCCACACCGGCCCCGGTGCCTGCCGCTGCCCCTGCGGATCCCCCCGGCGGTTACTTGGCCACCTCTAAGGCTGCCTCCCCTCCGGTGATCCAGACCAAAGCGGTGCCCAAGCACCCGCCCACAACCGGTGGCCTGCCTCCCAATCCCCCGGCTGCTGCTGTGATCCCGCCGGCATCGGCAGACACCCGCCCGGCGGCTTCGGGTCAGCAAGCTTCCGGCTCCGGTCAGCCAGCGTCCGGCTCTGAGCCGCGAGTGGATGGCTCCGCCGCATGACCCGGATCGAGAGCGCGCCTTGCCGAAGCAGATGATGACTTGGTCTACGCCGGGCTGGCCGACCTCCCGCTGAGCCAAGCATCCCGGTTGCTGGTGCTTCTCTCCGAGGTGTGCCAGGACAACTTTTATGCCCTGGCCAACCTGGGGCAGTACGACGTGGAGGCGCCGATCTTTGTTTTGGCCGCACAGTCTACCCGGCCCGGCTCCGTTCCGGGGCAGTACCGTCCGGTTGGCGCACGCTCCATGCCGGAGGGCCCCCGCTTACCGGACCGTGAAGGTGCAGCGGCCATTGAGGAGAACTTGGCCCGCCCCCAGCCCGCCAGCCCGCATTGCCCGGACCGACACTCGCGCTATCCCTCTGGATGTGCCTCTGGTGCACTGTGACCGGAACCGGCCCTCGGTGACGCCCCAGTTCGATCCGGATGCCCCGCTGACCCCGAGGCGCATCAACACCGGTCCGTGGAATAAGTCAGAAGGCTGGATGCGCCTGTCCATCTGCCTTCCGGACTCTCCCGGCCCGTTTGTCCGCGACCCGGAAACATGGCCTTATGCGGACTCTTTTGCTTTGAGCTGGAGGACTTACCACCATGGGTGCCGATCCAGCAGCCCCCGTCCGGCCTGACGCACCTCCGGATCCGTGGCTATTGTAGCCATGATTGCCCGGCGCGAGGACCACGCTGTATGCGCTGTTGCCTCCGGCCGATATTGTATTACAGCCGGACGGCTCACACCGGGCACAAATGCCATAACTGTATGGAGGATGGCCTCTGATCCGCCCCGGTGGTATCAGCATTTATGGTCTTTTCTTCCCCGGGCTCTGAAGCATAAATCATTCTTCCGACCCGGCCTTAATTTTACTACCTCCCGCGTTCCGGTGGCCATCCTCCCTGCGTCTCACCGGTCATCCGAATCCGACCGGTGGGTTCTGGATCTGGCTGCCCCTGCGGAACCGCAAAAGCTCTCTGCTCGCTTACATGTTGCACTGTTGCTGCTAGAGCGGTTTACGTTTTCACGCTGCCCTGATTCAGGTGCCGCTCCCCTCCGAGGCCTGTGCTGTCAGTCTTCTGTGTTGCCTTTCACCCCGCCCTTGTCAGGCAACACCGAAATCCTCGTGGCCGCGGCCTGGCGTGCTTTCACAGGTTGCTCCTCTGAGTCTGCTCCTGTCAGGCGCGTCATCCTTTGCACCTGTGTTGCCCACGGCACCGTGCTGTGAGCCCCTGGCTCCTCGCCCGTGTCCCGGGCAATCCTTGCATCTGCCTTCGGATGAGGCCCAGCCGGGCACCCCTGTTGCGGCCCGCGCTCCGCTGAGCCCCCTTGGTTCCCCAGGTTCGGACCTTTTTGCATCGGATGGGACTGAGGCCGGGTTCCAACTTGTCGCGGGTTTTTCATCAAACTCTCCTGCATCTGCCTCTGGTGTGTCTGACCTGGCCCTTCCTGGCCTGGCTTCCTTGGTCGTCCCGCCCCTGGCTTGCCCTCCTGACAGCCTGCGTCTGCCTGGCTGGTGCCCGCGCCCTAGGCCGGTGCCCAAGCCCTGCTCGCCTCCTTCGGCCTCGCCTGGACTTCTTCTCTGCCCTCGGGTCCCTGCCCGTCGCGCTCCTGTGTTCCCTCGTGGGCCGTCCGTCTTCTCTACCACGTGTCCTGCCCTTGGGGCGTCGTGTGTCTGTTGGGTCCGGCTCCAAATCGCCGGTGTTGCCCGACGCTGGCGGTGACACCCCGGCCCCATCTGGCAACTACATCCTCGGGCCTCTTCCCCTTGCCTCGGCCTCGGACTCTGGGTCCTCCATGGCCGCCGCTGCCGAGGCCGCCCTCGTGACTTTGAGGGCCGCTTTTTGCGATGCCGTGCAGGACCTCGGTGATGATTGCACACTTTGGCTTCACACGAAACTGGTGCCGTCCCCCCGTGAGCTCCAAACCCGGGCGGTCGCGAAGTTTGCCCCATCTACCAAACGATTGAAATTTCCTCAAATTCAATAGAAGTTTCGTGTGCCTCCAAAATCAAGCGGCCGATTGAAAAAAATCAAGCGGGCGTCCTCTGGGTCTGCGTCTCTGGAGTGCCTGGGTCCTGCACTGTCGCCGCTTCGGTTTCAGCTGTTCCGACCCGGCTCCCGGGACCGTTCCTGATTGGCTTCACCGGAACCCCTCCCCCTCCTTACTTTCCACTTCGGCCTTCAAATCACTTATCTGGATGTCGCGCATTGCTGGCTTGCCTTCATTGGCGGCGCAATTGCAAACTCCGTTGTGCACTGCGTTCCTCACCGCTACCATCCCCATTGAACGACGAGAATCCCTGCCGTTCTCCGTCTCTTTTGTTGCTTGGCTGGAACGTCGAGTTATGTGTCCGGACACTCCGGCCCGGGATGCCCTGGTGATGGGATCCGTGCTCTGCTTGATCTGGTCCAGTTTGCGCTGGAACGACGGGCTCTGGTCTCCGCCCGGCCGTTTGGTGCTTCAGTACGACTCTTCCGCCGTGACTGGCCTGGCCACTCGCACGAAAAGTTGCCGTGCCTCCATGCCTTGGGGCTGTCAACTGTTCGGCCTCACTGGGGGCCCCTCTGCCTGCTGGGGCCTGTCGTGGCTTAATCTGGTGAACCGTGCCCTGGCGGACACCCGACTCCGTTTCCCCGGCCGGTCCGTGGATTTTCTGCTGCCGTTGCTTGCTCCGGATACCGAATCCTTGGTCATGGTTTCTCCTTTGCACCGGTCGCGGGCCATGCCCTGGCTCCGGGCATTGTTGGACGAACATTGGCGAGAACACAGTTCCGGGCCGCCCCCTCCGGAACATGCCCGCTTTGGGGTGCACTCGTGCAAAGCCACCGTCCTCAGCTGGGCCCGGCAGTGTCACTTGAGTCCGGAGCTTCGCCGCCTGCAGGGCCATCACCGGCCGTCCGCTATGGAGGGATCCGTCCGCGTCTATAGCAGGGACGACGTTGGCCCCATGTTATTGCTCCAAGCCGAAGTTATCAACCGCATCAGGTCGGGATTCCGCCCTCTGCAGCCTGTTGCTCGTGGTGCGTCCCGCCCGCTTCCTGACTTCCGGGTCTCCTTGCCCCCTCCGGACCGCCATATGGCAGGCGAGGCCCCTAAAGATGTTCCCCCTCGTTCCCGTTCTCCGGTTCCTCATGCCAGGCCCAGTGCCGCGGCTCCGGTGGATGATGTTCCGGAACTCTCGGCTGACAGTTCCGACTCTGATGTGTCAACCGCGTCCGCCAGTGAAGTTGACACCTCAGTGCCTGCAAAACCGAAGCTGGCCGTCCGGCCCAAGCGCCCGGCGGCCCACACATCGGATGACCTTCAGGCCTTCCTGGTAAATCCGCGCAGCAACATTGTTCACAAAGCGGTTTCCTGCTCGTCCTGTACCCCGCATGCTGTGAATATTGCACTTGATGGACTTCAGCCCTTTTTTGCGCGCCCGGCATGTGGTGCCTCTACTGCCCACATGACTTCCGACTGTTGGTTTACGACCCCTCCTGTGGGTGCTCAGCCGTGCCTCCGCCGGGCATGCCGGGATGACTAGACGCTCGCGCTGTGAGTGAAAACTGGTTGCCGTCCCGTATGCCGCGCATCATTTCTGAGAGTGCATTGTCTTGTGGTTCCGGCTTGTTTACATCCGCAGCCATTTTGCCTTCAGGTAGAGGTTCTTCTAGTCCGGGTTCCGGCCACCAACCACATGGCTGCCGACTACCCCGCCGCGAGTTACTCGGCCTCTTCCCAGCAAGCGCCTGCTCCGGACGTTTGGCACACTTTCAGGGCGGCCCGTGGCCATGACGGCGCAGTCCTGCTGCCTTCCGTCCCGGAACTGGTGGACCTGGAAGAGCTTAGCGATGAGGACCTGCTGGCTATGCTCCGCCGGTGCTCGGCTGGCTTCTTGGCACGCCTGGCCCGCCTCATCGGCAGGATCCTCCGCCCGGTGCCGCAAGTGGTGACCTGCCATCTCCCTTGCGTGAACCCGGAATGCAACCAGGTGTGTGGCCGGGTCATCGACGTCACTCGCCGCCGCCAGCATCGGAACCATGCCTGTCGGGTTTGCCACAGTTTTGGATGGTGAACCCGTTTTCCTAGCCAACGCGACTGGCCCGGCCGGTGAATTTTGTCTGCCACCTGCCGCAATGATCTGGCATCCGGCACTGAGCAGGGCGCAAAACTTTGTGTGGTTACGCCTTGTTTCCGCCGCTTCTGCAAGTTGCTTTCATGTAGCGTCTTGCTCCGCAGCTGGCTCATTAGCATCAGGTAGGCTGTGCTGTAGGCTGTCACTGGACTTTGGATTTCCCCGGCCTTGGTCCCCATGACCTCTGCCCCCGCTTCCTTTGACGACCCCGCTGCGCTCGTCGCTCTGCTTAAGCAGTGGCACGCTCCTGATGAGCTGCTGGACGCGCTGACGCTTACCCTGACCCTGCTGTTTACCTAATTTTACACTTTGGCTTGATTTACTGTAAACGAAGGATTTAGTGTAAAATGACCAAATTTACGTAAATTTTCTGGTGAGCTAAAAACATGACAAAACACATAAAAACATTATGCAAACACAAACATGGAACTCATATTTGCGGCTGCAAACTTAGACACCACATGTAAAGGATTTAAAAAAATCACCGGCATGAGTTTGTTTTGCTCTGCAATCGCAGACACCACATGTAAAGGATCCACAGCAGAAGTAAGGACTTTTCCGAAAATTCGCAGGCCCAAAGCCATAAACTAACCAAAGAGAATCCATGCAGATTGCTTATAAGATCCACACCAGTATATACGACAACTGTGATTCAAAAGCCCAAACAAAAGACCAGGAGCACCACATATAGCAGAGAGACACTCTTTTTTTTCGCGACAGAAAAGAAAGAAGCTCTCACGATCGCCCAACTTTGCCCCGCAGAAACAAAAGGTGCCTCTCTTTGAGGGCAGCCTTTTTGGAAGCATGCCAGTGCTTCACCCCTGCCAAACAACTCTTCCATAGAATCTGCAGGCGATGCATCGTCGTCTCTCCCTTGTAGCACCAGACCATCGACGGATGAATAAAACTGCTGAGTAGGAGACTATGCAAAACGAAGTGGGTCTTACTTGTGAGATTGAAGAGCTTCTCCCCCGTCCCTTTGTAGTGGGCTTGCAGGCTGCTGTGGAGCTGTGCCATTTGGCAACCGAGCTTGAAAGCCAGGTTTGCTTGCTCCTCAGGTAAAGCCAAGAAGCCGTACCGTGGCCCATAAGCTTCCAATATTTCAGCCAGCTGCAGGTCCAACCGCAAAAAGACCGCAAAAAGAGCCGGATTTGCTTGTGTTGATAGATACCCTCGTCCATTTGCTCTTCGAATAGAGCAAGAATTGCACTGTCCAAAGATTGAATATCGGAAGCTCTTCCTCTCATCTTGGGGAATCCTTTTTTTGGTTGTATCATTGTAAGTTTCAGAAGTCGCTGGCGGAATGTGTATCTGGTTTCGTTGTCTCGCTGGTACTTCTTGATGAAGGAGTCGCAGTATTTCAAATTCGCCAAGATACTCCCACCCAAACAATCGTGGACCACGATGCTGAGCACGGAGCCATAAAAAAACTGTATCCACCCCAAAAACATACAATGCATATAGTCCATCGTGATACAAAGTCCCGAAAAGCCAGGTAAAGAATACAGCTGGCATGATGGATTCCAGTGGGATCTCCAGTTGGTGGTGGTGAGGCACGAGGCTTGCCACGGCGAATTTGCACGATTGTCCATCCATGTTAGTGGTCCTTTGAAGGCGGCCCGACAAAGAGCACAAGGTTTGCTGTGATTGCTCCATCGTGGAACCTCCAGCCATTTCGCATAATAATCCAAGTCGCCAGCCATTTGAACCAGGACACCATAATATCCTCCGCATAGGTCGGTTCCCGCTCGTTCGCCCTCCTTTGTACTGGCCCCATACCTCTGTGCCGTGTAACAAACATTTTCTTACTTGTGAGACAGGTTCATATATATCTACATATATATATCTACATGTGGTGAGAGGGTTTTTTACGTATACTGTGTGGTGATTTTTCTCACATCCGGTTCGTGCTGCTTTGGGATTCCACGGGTCCGTGGTTTTGTGGCTTATATATGTTTATACGATATTATATACTGTGTATATATATATATATATATCATCACCATCAAGGAAGCTGTTGGGTTAGGGTTGGATTTGAGAACAGGGCTCTCATACATAGGGTGTGTATGTATATAGTCACATATCTAAAACAGGACCCACATCATAAAAAATCAAGAAAGACAAAAAGGCTTACAGCTTATAGGGTTCCCACAGGGTCCTAAAATGTAAGGGTTTCCAGATTTCTGGCACATGTGTACATATACAACAACACACCAGGCTGCTTCTTGCCTTGCCAATCCCGAGCAGGCCATTTACCGGTGTAAAGAATGTTGAAAGACCAATACATCACTTGCCAAAAAGTTTCCATTGTCCCAGCCCCCTCGCCGCCAGCCGGAATAATGAACTTCTCAAAAACGCCCCAAATGTAGAGGTTGCAATCGGCAGCAGATCGGCCGGCCGCTGTGGCCATCAGCGATACCCATGAAAAAGCCAAAACACTGCGAGCCCATATCTTGCCCACTCCAAAAACAGGAACTTCGTCGCCGTGTATGCAAAGGGGAATAGCCCTTTGCATCCAATTAGCTCGCGATTTTACCGCATGATTTGACATGCAAGGGTGTCCATTGAACGATCTCCAAAACCGAGGCAAAGCCTCCGCATCAGGCAACACAGAAGTAATCCATCCAGTCGTCGTCTTCCAAAGGTGGTGCATAATCTCGTGCGGAAGCAATATCATGGAAGTCGCCGTGCCTTCGACTTGTCCTGCTAAGGGGATATTAAATTCTGTCGGCATCGGAAGATTGGACTGCTGGGCCAAGTGGTTGTCAATAGAAGATTGCAAATTTTTTCCATGCTTCACCTTGCTGAGCCTGTCCAAATCAGGAAGAATTTTCCCGTCCCTTGCATTTCTAATATCGGCAGCCGCTGCAACTGCAATTGCATGAATCATAGAGGCCGACAGGAGGCCTTGTGCCAAATACGTCATCAGCAAATCGTGCAAAGAACTTGAGGTGGACTTCTCACTCACCGCCTGGCCCAATCTCTGTTGGACCCCACCCTTTCGTCGCTTTCGCTCGGGCCCTGCATCCTCCATGGTACCTTCTCTCCATATATAAATAAACAGAACAGCACCTTTATGCAAAGTTGGTGTTTGTTGCCAGCTGAACTTTTGTGCCTTATTTCATACAGTGGTTTGTTCGCTATAGCCATAAAACATTTTATAAGGACGGGACACACATGGTCAGACACACCGAGCATTGAGGCTGAGGCTTGTGAGCAAGTTATACATATATGTGTGGGCACCAAATATACTATACAAACAACAACAGAAAGCTTTTGCCCCAACCCCGCAAAACCCAAACCCCCTAAACCACACGGTCCACTGCCCCTCAATCTGGACGAAACAAATCTTGTGAGGGTTTATATATAAGGTTCAGGATTTAAGGGTTTATAGAGGGTTCAGGGTTTGGGGTTACGAAGGTTGTGTTGTGAGCTTCACAGGGTTTTGGAGGTATGGACTTTCATGGTTGATTCAATGCTTGAGGTTCGGAGGTATAGCTTTACACATGTGTGCACTCACACATGCAAAGCAGGCTACAACAACACCATCGGTGTTATATATACTCTAAAATTGAAGCTGAAAGTCACGAAGACCAACACCCCAACATGATTCAAAAGGTTATAGTTATACACGTCGTTGCTCACATGTAAAAATCACCAGAAAAGCGCCAAATCTCAAGCTCTCATCATCGCCGTTGCTTTTTTCTCTCATCGCCAAAACTCAGAATCGCCGTTTGCACCACATAGAGGCGACAGCTCCGGAACTGCACACATTCAAAATCTGTCTAGCATCCTTTTTTGGCTCGGACAGTCAACTTGGCTTTCACGGCTGCCATTTGTTCTTCGAGATGAGTTGCTACTCGCCCGGACTCTCTCATGGTCTTGGAATATGATGAGACCGTGATCGGCCCGTCCTCATTCTCATCCTCGTACTCGTGCCACGAGAGAAGGTGCTCAAGTCCCTGCTTCGATTTTGTTGCTTGTTGGACGATGCTCTTCCTTACAGCTGTGGGGTCTCACACAGGTTTCGGTGTTCGGGCACTGGGTTTACTTGCGAGAGAAAGCACAACACTTTGGTTACATGCGACTGTTGTTGAAGAGACTACTTTTACGAGTTAAAGTTTGTGCTTTACTTGCGAAGACAAAGGTTGAAGCCTCCATGTATTTACTTACGAGTTAAATTGGTGACTTTACTTGCGAGGATAAAAAAGTTGAAGCTTTTGGCAAGGTTGTTTCAGGAATACAAAACCAGTCCAAGTCGCACACTCTGGTACATGTCCTTGTCCTGCTTCTCATCCACGGAAGCAACCAACTTTCTGCCCTCGACAAGGATCTTATTGTAGGCCGCGATCGCCTTTGTAAGCTGCCCATCTGCTGCCTTCCACAGCTTCTCCGTCATGTTCCTGCTGGCGGCCACGGTACCATCGCAGATTGCGAGCTGCTCTGAGTCATTTGTCAGAGCTCTCTGGGGCTTTGCTTTGCCCTCGCTCTTCTCCTCAAACAAACCAATCCTCCAATCCTTGGACTGCTTCTCGAAGAACTTGGCCTCGCCATCCTTCGCTTTGGCATCGGAGCCCATGGAAAACTTCTTCTCCTTCCCTGAAGTGGAGTTGTGCACATCCTCGGACCACATGTAACGATCGGGTCCGTTCTTGGAACGGACAGCGATGATCTCGCCACTCTCGAGTGCGGCTTCGAACTGCTCATTGCTAAGATTGAATTTCCCCTGAAGCAAGATTTTGCCCAGGGTTTTCTTCTTGTTGGTCGCCTCGGACTTCGTGTAGTTCTCCTCGCTCCACCCACAGAAGAAAAGACAAGCCGAAGGGGTTTAGGGTTCAAGCTTAAGGGTTTGAGGCTTGAAGGTTTTAGGGTTCAGGGCTTCGTCGTTTGAGGCTTTGGGGTTTGGGGTTATATATATAATATATATATATATATATATA